TCTCAAAAAAAAAAAAAAAAAAAAAAAAATATTCTGTATGTATTTCACCACCCTAACAGGTCAGTAAGGCCAACCAAAGGCTCCTCCTGTACAAGCAACAGCCCAGCTTTAAGGTGGCTTTGTCTAGGACCCAGTGTGAACTTCTTTGCAGAAAACCAGACCAGAGTCAGGAGGGGAAGAGACACAACAATATAACTCCAAAGTGTCAACTTTGTTTTATAATCTGACTGGAAAACTAGACAATCCTCCAACCCAGGAGGTGATGGGTGGGCTTAATCCTCCTCCTCGTCATCTCCGGCTCCAGCCCCACCCTGGCCCTTCTTGGCGTTCTTCCTCTTCACACGGCCAGGACGGCCTCCCCCGTAAGGAGAGCGGAGGGAGAAGTCAATGTGCTTCTGGGAATCCAGGCGGACAATGAAGGATGGGATATTCACCACCTGCTTGCGGACCCTGCAGGAGGGAAGAGCAGATGAGGGCAAAAGGCATAAAGGCCCAACCCACAATACCACACTTCTCTTGGCCTGCCCGTCCTTTGCAACTGACAGGACCAGTGCTATATATAGCTGCACGACACTAGAAGCACAGCCACAAGGGCACTTCTGGTCCTGTGGGACTTGAGGCATCACCTAATCCCCACCTGTTTTTGCTGAGTGTCTCATCCTTATTTACAAAAGGAAGAGAAATCCAAAGCACCTGGCACAAGACCACAAAGCAAGTGGAGTGGCAGTGCATGACCCTACTACCTGATACTCAGATCCCTGTGCATCATCTATGACCATGAGCAGCTTCACACCTGTGAAGTAGTGACCTGAGGCTCAGTCTGAGATCATTTTCGACTGAAATTTGAGCAGGTGGTTTACAGGGTTAGTCAAGGACTGAGGCAGAATTTCTGATGCAAACATCCCCAAATGGTGCCCACTTTACAGAAGAGGCAAACTGAGATGCCTGATAAAGACCCATTTGCCCAGACTAGCCTTTTCCCTGCACCTGCTGCCACCCACGCCGACTCCTCCTGCAGTCCTTGGCACACGAGCATCAAACTAGGGCAGTAGTGAATATGCCAAGTTAATGCCAACAAAATGGCCTGGATGAACTTCCCAAGAAAGCCTAGCAGACAACTGAACCCACCCATTCAGTCCAGGCAGGCCTACTCCTTGCCGTCCACTGGGGAGGCCCAGAGCTGTTACCTGTCTCACTGCCCACATGCCTGGCAGAAGCCTTCACAAGGTGTACGGCTCAAGCCGCAGTGACCCTTGCGCTGGACTATGGGAGATGATGCCCCCAGCTCTCACATGCGCTTTTAGCAGGGATGAAATCTGTACCCTCAAGGTGAGCTCACACCTGTCACCTCTGAGGGCTGCACAGGAAACAGTGACAGCAGGTTCAGTGAGTGACCATCCAAGGGGATAGGGTGGGGGAAAACTCAGGTGCCATCAGTGGTGGGGTACCTGATATGGCGCTGGCGGATGAGCACGCGGGCATGGTGTATGGACTTGGCCAGGCCCAGCTTGAAGACCTGGGTCTGCAGGCGCCTCTCCAAGAAGTCCTCTATCTTCAGGCCCAGGATGTAATCCAGCTTCATCTTGCCCTCGTCCAGCACCCCAATGCGGACAAGTCGCCGCAGCAAGGCATTACCTACAAGAGTGGGAAAAAGTGCTGATTCAGGTCTGACTTTAGATTCTTGGGTTCAAATCCTGCCCTACCTCAGTAGTTCCATGTTGTGGTGATGGGACTTAGGTAGGAAATAAGGGCCATCTCTGGTACAGGGCTCAAAGTGCTAATCACTGTGACTCGCACAATCCTTGAAACCACCCTGAGGTAGGTTACTACAGCTAACAGGCAGGCAGGCAAACACAGCCCCCATAAGGGAGTACAACACCCCTCACTCCACATTCTCACCAAGAGTAAATGAGATGATCCCCTTCCAAGGGCTCAGTTTACAAAAGACCAAGTGCTGCTACTGAGTTTCTACTGCCATTGACAAAGCACAGTGGCTAAAGCCAGCATTTTAAGAAGCCCTCTGAGTAACCAAAGTTGGGGTTAAATCATGTCTGTCATCTAATGGGGAATAAGATCAGTGAGCTATGATCATGCTCACTTTATAGAGTTGAGAAACATCTAAAACTGGGCATGTTCCAGCTGAGTACATGTCCATTAATTTTCCTGTTCTATTTATAAGATTTTCCACTAAAAAAAATACGCTGCGTATATAATCTAATGATACACAGCGGTATCCAACACATGTCAACTACCACCTTTCTTCCAAAACCAGGCTCAGGACACCCTGCTCCTTACCCATAGTGCCTGACCACTGCTCTGGACTGCCCCTGGGATTCTAGGGCAGATCCCCTTCCCTAGGCTCACTCTGTCATCACTGGGGCCTTATCATTGCACAGGCCTACAGCAAGTTTGCCCCAGGATACTGGAGTGAAAGCATAAATATATTTTCCTTAAAAAGAGTTTTCAGGCTCAGCACCTATGGCTCAAGTGGCTAAGGCACCAGCCACATACACCTAAGGTGGCGGGTTCGAATCCAGCCCGGGCCCGTCAAACAACAATGATGGCTGCAACTGAAAAAAAAAAATAGCCAGGTGTTGTGGCAGGCGCCTGTGGTCCCAGCAACTTGGGAGGCAGAGGCAGGAGACTCGCTTGAGCCCAGGAGTTGGAGGTTGCCGTGTGTGAGCTATGCCACAGCACTCTACCCAGGGGGACAGCTTGAGGCTCTGTCTCAAAAAAAAAAAAAAAAAGTTTTCAGGCTTGGTGCCCGTAGGTCAGTGGTTAAGGTGCCAGCCACATACACCGGGGTTGGCGGGTTTGAACCCAGCCTGGGCCTGTTAAAACAGTGACAACCACCACAACAAAAAAAATAGCTGGGCACCGTGGCAGGTGCCTGTAGTCCCAGCTACTTGGGAGGCTGAGGCAAGAAAATTGCCTAAGCCCAAGAGTTTGAGGTTGCCACAGCAAGAGTTTGAATGATACCACAGCATTCTACCAAGGGCGACAGTTAGACTGTCTCAAAAAAAAAAAAAAATAGGATTTTCACACTTTTTAAAATGTCTCTTACTTTAACACTAACTCAAGCAATGTTCATGACCAACACACCCATGTTTACTGGGCAGTTCCAGTATTGCCAACACTATTACCCTCCAAGGAAAATTTGAAGGAGAACTAGCTGACTTTGTGAATCTCCTAAGTCTTCCTAAGACTCAAAATGGAGATATATGCTGTCTACCTTTCCCAGCATCCTAAATCACAACATAGCTTTTTGCTTTTTTAATGCTGAACATCAGATAATATTCAGATGTTAATATAGCAACAGTCCTGCCAGATGTGCTAGATGTCCCAGTGCCTGTAATCCTAGCACTTTGGGAAGCCGAGGTAGGTGGATTGCTTGAGCTCAGAGTTCAAGACCAGCCTAAGCAAGAGTGAGATCCTGTCTCTAAAAATAGCCAGGTGCTGTAGTGGGTGCTGACGGTCCCAGCTACTCAAGAGGCTAAGGCAAGAGAATCGACTGAGCTCAAAAGTTTGAAGTTGCTCTGAGTTGTGATGTCACACCCCTCTGCCAAAGGCAACTAAGAGATTCTGTCTCCAAAAAAAAAAAAGAAAAGAAAAGAAAAAAAACAAAATACAGCAACGGTCTTAGTGCTGAGGCACCTTTCAAGCCCCTCCTTCCCATCTGACTAGAACATATAACGCCCAAAAAACTGCCTTCCCACTCCCGCCAACTTTCATACCTGTTGTGGAAAACCTCAAATGACTCTCAGACATCTGTAGTAGCTCATTTTCTCACATAACCGTATCCCCTAAAACTAAGGACATAGGCCTGATGCAGTGGTTCATGCCTTTAATCCTAGTGCTCTGGGAGGCTGAGGCAGGTGGACTGCCTGAGCTCATAGGTTCAAGACTGACCTGAGCAAGATTGAGACCAGAGTCTCTAAAAAATAGCCGGGCATTGTGGTGGGTGCCTGTAATCCTAGCTACTCAAGAGGCTGAGGCAAGAGGATCTCTTGAGCCCAAGAGTTTAAGGTTGCTGTGAGCTATTAGGCCATGGCCCTCTAACCGAGGGCAACAAAGTAAGACTCTGTCTCAAAGTTTAAAAAAAAAAAAGAAAAAACCAACTTTGGCTCACACCTGAAATCCCAGCATTCTGGGAGGTCACAGTGGGAGGATCCCTTGCGCTCAAAAGATAGGAGACCAGCTTGACTCTCAAAATAGTGAGACACTGTATCTACTAAGAACTAGCTAAGTATTGGTGGTGGGTGCCTGTAGTCCCACCTACTCAGGAGGCTGTGGCAAGAGGATTACGTTAACTCAGTAGTTTGCAGCTGCTGTGAGCTATGATTACTAATGGTGACAGAGTGAGGCTCTGTCTCAAAAAAGGGGGGGCAGGCGGCACCTGTGGCTCAAAGGAGTAGGGCACCGGCCCCATATGCTGGAGTTGGCAGGTTCAAACCCAGCCCCAGCCAAAAACCACAAAAAAAGGGGGGGGACATTACTTTTTGGCTACACCATACACTATTCAGGTGATGGCTACACTAAAAACACCAGACTTCACCACTATACAATACATCCACATAAGAAAAAAATTACACATAACCCCTAAATCTACTGAAATAAAAAATACATTTAAGATGGTAAGTTTTCTCTTACATGTTTTACCATAATTACAAAAACAAAAGGCTAAATCCCTAAATTATCTGTATTCCCTTCTAAGACACTCCTTCCTGACACAAACACACATCTCTCCCAGTTAGGCCTTTGCTAAATATCACAAAATGCCCTTCATCAGCTTATTAGAGTGAGCTAGCATACAAAAGCCCAAGCCCCCTCCCTAGGATAGCCATTCCTTATTTCAGAAACTCTACTTTTTTGTCTGTCCCTCCACAGTATTTCACTGAACTTTACGTCTTCAACAACGGCACATCCTACCACTGAGAACCGTCACAAGCGCTCGACTGGGCCAGTGGCAAATACATACGAGTGAGAACTATTCTGCCACAGCACATACACCCATAGACAAGTACCAAAGTGTGTTCGACCCGTCATTACCAAATAGAAAGTAAAAAGTCTCACATCTAAGAGCGCAAGGATTCTGATACAGATCCACTTTTCCTACTCTACAATTCCCATTAAAATACCCCAGTTAGAAGAGTGGCTCCGGGGCGGCCCCTGTGGCTCAGTGAGCGCGGGCCCCGGTTCGAACCCGCCCCGGCCAAACTACAACAAAAAAATAGCCGGGCGCTGTGGCAGGCGCCTGTAGTCCCAGCTACTCGGGAGGCTGAGGCAAGAGAATCGCCTAAGACCAAGAGCTGGGGGTTGCTGTAAGCTCTGACGCCACAGCACTCTACCGAGGCCGATAAAGCGAGATTCTCTCTTTAAAAAAAAAAAAAAAAAAAAAAAGGCTGGCTCCATTTGTTCAATGTTAGGATTCTGACCTGCGAGGAAGAACGAACCTCGCAAACTCCGCACCCCGTTCCCTCCAACGGGATTCAACACACACCTTCAAACAGACGCCGCGGGTCCTTCTCGTCCAGCGTCAGCAGCTCCCGGGCGGCCTTGCGGATTTTGGCCAAGGTAAACTTGACCCTCCAGACCTCACGTTTGTTCCGGAGCCCATATTCGCCTGAACAGATGAGGAAGGAGTTGATAGGTTCAGTCCCACGGACTACAATAAGAAACTAGATCGGCAGCTTCGGGACAGGTAAAATCTGCACCACGAATACTGAACTTGGGGAGACTAAAACACGTGGGCACCCCTATCCACGTGCCAGCCTTCCCCTAACCTCGGAAGCCAAACCCTGCCTTGGTCACTCACCGATCAGCTTCAGTTCTTGGTCGAGGCGGGATTTTTCAAAGGGTCTGCGCGGGGTCACGTAGGTTTTGCGACAAACCCAGCTCCGGGCCACCGGCATGTTTGGCGCTGCTTATCCGTCTGCGCCTGCGCGAGATGTAAAACTGAGCAAAGACACCTAGGGAAACGCCTGCGCAGTCTCAATGCCCACTAAAAAAATACGTGTGGCGATCTCGCGAGAGCTGCGCTTAAAGTTTTTTTTTTAAACAACTAGTATCCTTCCCTCCAACCGTGTTGCACTCCCGTCTAAACCCCCTCCTCTTGCCCCTAACTTCTTTGGCGGAAAGCTTGGAATGCCCGCCCGACCATACAAACCAAACCCGCAGAAGAAAACACGCCCCTGAACCTCACCAAACACTAGATCCGAGCAGCAGAAAAAGAAACTCATGCTCCTCGGCTGCACTCTTATAGTAACGCAGACGCTGCGTGACGTCACCGCGCACGGCGCACTTCTGCACCAATCAGAAAAGGCGTCGGCTGTCGGAAAAAGCAGTTGAGATGGAAGTCTGGGCTAGAGTGACATGTTAAGCTGGAATGATTGGGTTTGTACCCCCGAGTGGGAGTCGGAACGCGAAGGACCTGAGAAGTTGGGGGATCTTCCTTGTCTAAACACTGGTCTTTAACAAGTCATGCAAACTAGTCTAGAGTTGGAGAACTCAGAGTTCCACTCCTGTTTCTGATTCGCGATATAACACTGGAATACTTACCTCCCTTCTTGTAGACCTTAGCTTTCTCCTTGAGCATTGGCGTTAGAGGAACTCTCAAAAATTATTTCCAAGCCGGATATTCCGTTAATGCCATGGATAATAAAATCGTCACATTCAGAATAAGTCAACTTAAACTAGAACCAAAAGCCCCCCTGCCTCTTTGAATACTGGCTACAGATAGACTGTAATCTATTTAACCACACCACCTACCATGGATATTCTAGCCACTTCTAATTGTTCTCTAGTCTAAATTATACAGCATTATGTATTCTTGCACAAGTGACAATGTTGGGAGTATCTTTGTAAAACAAATGTCTATAAATAGAAATAGAAATAGAAATGCAAAGTGAAAGAAATGAGTATTTTTAGCTCGCCTGGACATTTTTAACAACCCTAAGTGCGTGCACACACCTCACTCCTAATTTACATGAGTACCTGTTTCCCTTTCTCCACGTTCCCTCTTCCCAATATTAGATATTTCCATTCTTTTTTATCTTTAACAATCTGGCAAAAATTGATACTGTTTACATTTTTTTTTTTGAGACAAGGTCTAACTCTGTCATCCGGGATGGAGTACAATGGTGTCATCACAGATCACTGCAATCTCAAAACTCCTGCTTCAGCCTCCTGAGTAGCTGGGACTACAGGTGCCTGCCACTAAGGCTGGCTATACATTTGCTTTAACGTACTTGTGGAAGATAAGGATCTCTCCTGGTTTATTGGCTAGTTTTGTATTTGATTTTCTGTGATTGCCTATTTACACCTGTAGTCCACTTTAGGGGTGAGATATGGGAACATAAAGATCTTTACTTTTTGTGTTTATCTCCAAAGCTTGTTTTTCTATCTTGAACACACTTATACTATTCATCAAAAAGGAAAAAATAATGGAAGAAAAACATTCTTCCATGAGTTTTCACTCCCTTCAGTATGAAGTCCAAGCTCCACATATTCCTAGTGCTTTGAGATTAGAGATGGATTTATAATAGTGGTTAAGGCTGTGTGTTCTCAAGTCAAAAAAGATCCAGGATTGAATTGTAGGTTTCACTTACCAGCTCTTGATCTTAGGTAAATTAACCTCTTCACTAGTGCCAAATGGGACAAAAAGTAACAACTTCCTCACAGGGTTGGAGAGGACAAAAAGACCAGCCTGGGCTTGGCACCAGTAGCTCAGTGGTTAGAGTGCTGCCCACATATACCAGGACTTGCAGGTTTCTAACCCAGCCCAGGCCTTCTAAATGACAACAACAACAACAACAGCCTGGCATTGTGGCAGGCGCCTATAGTCCCAGCTACTTGGGAGGCTGAGACAAGAGTTTGATGTTGCTGTAAGCTGTGACACCATAGCACTCTACCGAGGGCAACAAAGTGAGACCCTGTCTCAAAAACAACAACAACAAAAAAAAAACCAGCCTGGTATACTGAAGGTTCTTAACACTATTGACCTTTGAATAACATGGAGGTCAGGAATACCAACCTCTGAACTGCCAAAAATCCACATGTAACTATTGATAACATTAATAGTCAATTAGTACTTATTATATGTTACATTTACTATATTTAATGTAAGAACAAGTGAAAGTTATAGAAAATAAAATGTTATTAAGAAAATCATAAGAAGCAGCTCAGATCTCCTGGCTCAACAGGCAGCATGGGCAGCAATGAAATGTTGGTTCTAGGTCCCTACCAGACAGTTGCTGGGCCTTCCTCAGCACCATCTGCACCCCCAACCTATGAAGAGATGGTGGCTGTTAACAATTAGAACCCTGGGCTAGGCACCTGTGGCTCAAGTGGCTAAGGCGCCAGCCACATACACCTAAGGTGGCAGGTTCAAATCCAGTCTGGGCCTGCCAAACAACGATGGCTGCAACCAAAAAATAGCCAGGCGTTGTGGTGGGCACCTGTGGTCCCAGCTACTTGGGAGGAGGAGGCAGGAGACTCACTTGAGCCCAGAAGTTGGAGGTTGCTGTGAGCTGTGATGCCACAGCACTCTACGAAGGGGGACAGCTTGAGGCTCTGTCTCAAAAAAAAAAAAAAAAATTACTACCCCGAGCCTCCAGCACCCATACCTGGGCCAACCACAGGGCTCATGACAGGCCCAGATGGGAAGGGCATGAATCCTCCTCCATATTATACCCAGCCAGTGCCTGTCCCAAGGCCAATGCAATTGCTCTACAGTTTACATGCAACAGCCTGTCTCCTTTTTCAACCACTCTGTTCAGATGTGTTGTCCTTCCTGCAACAAGATGATCATGACTCAGCTGTCCTACAATGCTGGCGCCCTGACCTGGCTGTCCTGTGTCTGCTGGGGTGCATTGCAGGCTGCTGCTTCATCCCCTTCTGTGTGAACACCCTGCAGGGCAGGACATAGACCACTACTGTCCCAACTGCAAAGCACTCCTGGGCATCTACAAGCATTTGTAGGACTCAACCGGATGTGAAGGGAGCTGAGTGCTGTAGGAAGTCCCTTCCGACTCTTGTCCAGCTCCATCCCTGGAGGTTCTGCTCTGGTGATCTCATCTTTCCAGGGGGCCTACCTTCATGTATTCTTTTGGGGGGAAAATGTCACAAAACTAACAAACCTCCAAACTCAAGAAATTGCTGCTTGGAGTCGTGCACAGGACATGTAAAGACATTTCCTTTGAGTGTTGGCTCACCCATGATCCCTAGTTATGCCATCTGTTATTGTTGCCCCTTCTGAATATCATCCTGTGATTTGCCAATGGTTGGCTCCTTTACCTGCCTCATTTGGCCTTTCTGGTGGTCTCAAACTGAGAAGCCACAGGTTGCCTTGTTTTTAAGGCTGTTCTGCTCTGAATGCGGCTGAACCAGCCTTGAGTGCCTCCCATCTTATCCACCTGTTCCCACCCTGATAAGAAAAATCTTGCCTTATAGATTTTATGGGCTTGACTTTTAAATTTTGTAATTGCAGACTTCATTAGCACACGTACCCACTTTAATTAAAAAAAATTTTTTTAAGTACAAGGAGAGGCTATTAACACCCAGTAGGTGCATAGCCACCAGCCCACCAGCACACACTGGGTTTTGTCATTGCTCTGCCTTCCCTGTTTCTTTGTGCAGGATCCTCAGCACCACTATACATGAGGGGATTTTTTTTTCCCTCCATAGGATTGTTGTTTTAATTTTTTTTTTTTTTTTACCTCCTTTAGGTCTTAAACACCTTTGGCCATAATTTTGAAAGGAGAGCCTTATGAAAACATTCTCTGTAACCACATGACTGCTGTGGTCTTCCCATTTGCCAATGCACTCTCATTTTGTTGTTGTTGCTGTTAACAGATAAAAGAAATGTATAATTTCATTTACTGCCTTTCCTTGGGGTTAGTGTGGTTCTTAAAAACCTCCATCATGGGTCGGCGCCTATAGCTCAACCGGCTAAGGCGCCAGCCACGTACACCTAAGGTGGCGGGTTTGAATCCCCAGCCCGGACCGCCAAACAACAA